GGCAGGCAGAGCAGGCAGAGGGAGAAGCAGGCTCCCCAATGAGCAAGGAGCCCAATGTGGGACTCAATCCCAGAACCCTGGGATTGTGACCCAAGCTGTAGCAGATGCTTAACTGACACCCAGGCCTCCCTAAAAAAGATTTTTAAGTAATCTCTACACCCAGTGTGGGGCTGGAACTTATGACCCTGAGATCAAGAGTCACATGCTCCTCTGAACCAGCCAGGTGCCCCTCTATTCCCAGTTTGAGTGTATTTATCACAAAAAGGTGTTGAATTTTGTCAAATGCTTTTTTGCCTCAATTGAGACGATCGTGTTTCTTTTCCCTTTGTTTTGTTAATGTGGTTTATTACAATGATTGATTTCTGTATCTTGAACCATCCTTGCATCCCACGAATAAATCCCACTTGGTGATGGTGTGTAATACTTTGAATATGCTGATTTTGGTTTGCTAGTGTTTTGTTGAAGAGTTTTGCATCAGTGATCATAAATCTTCTAGTAGTGTGTCTGGATTTGGCATCATGTTAATGCTGGCCTCATAGACTAAGTTAGGAAGTTTTCTCTCCTCTTTACTCTTCTGGAAAAGTTAGTCCTTCTTTAAATGTTTGGTAGAATTCACCAAAGAAGCTATTGGTTCCAGGGCTTTTCTTTGTCAGGAGATCTTAAAATTACTGATTCAATCTCCTTACTAGTTATACATCTATTCAGGTTTTCTATTTCTTTGTGATTTAGTCTTGGTCGGTTTCATGTTTTTAGGAAATTTCCCACTTCATCTAGTTATCCAATTTGTTGGAATACAATTGCTCTTTAGTTCTCTTATAATCCTTTTATTTCTGTAGAATTAGTAGTAATGTCCCCATTTTCATTTTAATAATTTGAATCTTTTCTTTTTCCTTAGTCCGTTCTAGCTACAGGTTTGTCATTTTGCTGATCTTTTCGAAAAACCAACTGTTTCATTTATCTTCTGTTGTTTTTCTCTATTTTGTTTATCTCTGCTCTAACATATGGTCTTTTCTTCTTTCTTCTTTCCTCGGACTCAAGTGCAGTATTCTTTCTTCTGCCTACTCAAATCTGCCTTTGAATCCCTCTGGTGAATTTCTCATTTCAGTTGTACTTTTCAGCTCCAGAACTGTGTATGTGTGTGGTTTCTTCTTAGGTTATCTAGCCATCTATTGACATATCCATTTCATTCATGTATCATTTTCTTAACTTCCCCCACAGCTTCCTTTAGTTTTTTGAGCATCTTTAAGAGAGCTGTTTTAAGGTCCGTCTAGTTTATCTGCCACCAGGTCTTTTTCGGGGCTTATTTCAGTTTCTGTTGATTTACTTTTTTCTTTTGAATGGGTCATGCTTTCCTGTATCTCTGCATGCCTTGTGATTTTTTTTGTTGAAATCTAGACATTGGAATCTAATAATGGGGTAACTCTGCAAATCAGATTCCCCCTCCTCCCCGCCCCCCACTTCCCAGGGCTTGCTGGGCTTGTTATGATTTTTGCATTTTGATTGTTGTAGGCGGTCTCTGTGTTGCAGATGAGCCAGAGGTATAAACTTAGGCCTTTCCCTGGGCATGCGTGGTCACTTTCTAATTTTCCTCATACACGCAGTTGTTTTGTTTTTAAGATTTTAGGGACGCCTGGGTGGCTCAGTCGTTAAGCGTCTGCCTTCAGCTCAGGTCATGATCCCAGAACCTCTGGAACTGCCGTTCCCTCTGCTTGTGCTCTCTCTTTCTCTCTCTCTCGGACAAATAAATAAAATCTTAAAAAAAAAAAAAAGATTTTATTTATTTATTTGCCAGAGAGAGAGAGAGGGAGAGTACAAGCTGGGGGAGTGGCAGGCAGAGGGAGAAGCAGGCTCCCTGCTAAGCAAGGAGCCCGATGTGGGACTCGATCCCACGACCCTGAGATCATGACCTGAGCCGAAGGCAGACACTTAACCATCTGAGCCACCCAGGCGCCCCACGCAGTTGTTTTTGAATGTCCTAGTTTTTAATGTCTGCTCCCAAAAGGGGGAATATTTGGATGGGGGGGGCATCAGCCCTTTAAATCCACTGGAAGTCACTTCAGCCAGAGGAGGAACTTGCAGCAGTGGGGGGGAGGGGTACAACAAAGTCGGCCCACCTCTTTGTCTATAGCTCTGTGATCAGAAGCAGCAATTAGAGATCAGGGCTCAAATCCCAGATATCTGGAGGACAGGGTCCTTTTTGCCCACGTTGGCTCCCACAAGCTGTGTGCAAGTTGCTCCAGAACATGTTCATGGCTGCCTGCTACATGCCTGGGGCTGGGGGATAGGTAGGTGAATTGACCAAAACCACAATTTATCATCCGAATCTTCCTCTGGAAGCTGGAGCCTTCGTAGACTCCGGACTTCTATAGGAGTTCCACCAAATCCTGCCAGTGTACTTGTCGTCTAGGTCAGAAGACAGATTCCTGGTGCCTCCTCTCTGCCATCTTCCCTGGATCCTCTTTAAAGACTTCATTCCATCTCACAAAGTTCAGTACATAGTGGTCTCATTATTATTCTAAGTATTTTCTAATTCCTTGTATGGTGCCTTCTTTGATCAGTGAGTTATTTTGAAGTGTGTTTTAAAATTTCCATATAGTTTTTTTTCCTCCCAAGTTTTTATTCTTTATGGTCCTTTAATTATGTTGCAGACATACAAGTCTGTATGATAATGCTCCTTTGGTATTTACATTTGTAAATATTCCATGTACTTGAGAAAAACAAATATTCCTCAAATGTTGGGTAAAAATGTATAAACGTATCTATTAAATAAAAAGGAAATAGAAAATCTGATTAGATCTATAATAATTAAAGGGGCTGAACTGATAGCCAACTCAAAAGAACGGTACTAGAAGTGAGAAGCAGAAAAACCAAAGGAATTTTGTTCTTTGTTCTGCATTAAGGAGACTTGGCAAGTCCTTTTTTTTTTTTTTTTTTTTAAACAGAAACAAATCTTTTCATAAACAGTCCATAAGAAACTGGGAGAAGAAAACTACAACATGCTTTTTGGTAGAAACGATCTGACATAAAAATTTATTTATTTGATATTTTAAAAAGCAGGGCAGAATCACATTCATTTTCTTCATAAGATCACTGTAAACAGACTGACTTTCTGAGCCCCTAGTTTGCTTTGGAAACTTCCAAAGGGCTGATCACTAGCAGCCCTAGCAAGCCTTTTCCTTCCCTTCCAGGCTCTCTTCCTCTCT